AGAAGTGCATGAAATGTACACATAAATGAATGTAGGAATAACAGCATGATTCATTCAGAGAGCTGCGCGGTGTATAGTGTTGTTCAGTCACTAAATACGTGGAACTAATGGCTCTGATAGCTTTTCCTCTTTCAGACACAAGTGGCTAAAAGGAATATTTTCACTGTAGTACTGTGAGAACCACGACACATTTGGACACAAACAGGAAATGGTAAAGAATACTGTGCAGAAATCTGAACTCTCAGAAAAAGCTGCGATCGGATCATTTTATGTATTTTGCTAGAAAAAACACAAGGGCACAGAATCTGTCGGGACTGAAATGTTATGACAGCAGATCGACCTCGTTAGATCTCCAAAAACAGAAAGTCAATCACATCACAGGCACAAATGTGACAGCTACTTTTAATTATTTCCAGGGTGGTCCATCTCTTTCCAAGAAGTCCATATAGCCTTAAATATATAAATACAGTCACTTTAAGCTTTTACTAAGCAGTGATGAAGGTCCAATAATGTCTTTTAAATTGACAAGGCCAAAACCTATTAGTTTCTCATGATTAACTACGACTGGTAGTTTCTCTTTGCCAGTATAAAAAGATGTGTTTCACAGAAACCACCAAGGTTCAAGCCTGGCATGAACCGGGGTCAGCTGGACACCACATCACTGTCCATGACATCCATGATGAGTGGATTGTAAACGTTTTTACCACAACTGTAATTTCAGAGAGGCAGATACTTTACCACTGTGTTGAGCTCAGGGCTGTCTGGGTTGTTGTCTTGAAAGTATTCAACAGCTTTCTGAATTCTTGCAATGCAAGCAAGATACTCGTCCAGTCTGCCCGTAGGTCTGAGACAGAAAATGAAAATTAGTATACATACAGTTTGTGTAACCACAAAACATTTGCATACGAAGGTCATCCCCACCCCTCTCTGATGATCCTGTCCGTGTCTTTGGCCACATGGTAGTAGCTGATGACGTGATCCATGCAAGACAGAGTTTTGTCCACGTTCTCCTGCAGCCGTTGCAGGTTTTCCGTCTGCTTGTGAACCGGGATGATGGAGTTCTCCAGCTGCATCAGGCGGCTCTCGAACGAAGACAGGATGGAGACCTTTTGGGAAAGAAATACAGGTCAAAAACCAGTTGGGCTATAAAAGCAGCTTAAATATAGCACCTTAAATAATGAGTCACATAAGAGATTCAGCTGAAGTGGGGTGAAAGCTGAAAAATGACATCACAGGCTGCTTTCATCATTTCACTCACGCTTCATGTTCATAATAGAAATGATAGAAACTATAAGTAAATATTTCAATCCAAGTACAAGAATAAGAGGCTTTATTTTTAATTATGGGTTAAAGTACTATCGAATGGAGATCAGCCCACCGCCTTTAATTATGAGAACTATGAGTGTCAGCCTGAGCTGTCCCTGGGTGTGTTTGGACCGTCCTACCATGTTTTTGGTCAGCTGATCGCTCTTTTCCAGGTTCTCCCGGATGAACGACAGCGTCTCCTGCTCCTGTAACAGCAGAAAGAAAACCAACCACTCACTCATTTCACTCTGAAGACATTAAAGACACTCTTTCGGTCAATAAGCATCATTTTAAACGCGGGTGTTGAGATACACTGGTGGGTTGTAGCTCGAAGGGAAGCTTCCTTCCTCTCAAGCCACCAGCTGTCTGACCTGCTTCAGTTTCTCCTCGATCTCCCGCTTCCTGGCGGACGCATCCTCCGTAGGAATCATCCTGGAGGAAATTTAAAGCAAAGGAGTCTCTTCGGCGGCTAAAACGTGACTAAGTTACCGATTTAGATAATAAAAACAACAACAACGACACCCCTGAGCCGCTGTCATGGATAGCTAAAAGCGGTGAGGTTAAGCTAGTTTGGTTAGCCGTAACAGGGCAAGTGTTTCCGGTTAGGATTTCAAAATAAAATAGCCATCGGCATTAAACTGAAAAGTGAAATAAATGCTCATCGATTTTTTTTCCTCCAATCAGTTTGTACTGAATCAAGATTACGTTTAAGTTTATTTAATATCTTATTCTAACTGCAAATGAAAGTAAACACACAATTCTTCTTCAGTTGTCTTTTATTATGGACCACAGTAATTTTTCTGTGTGTAGTCCTTAACTAAAATTGTGAAACCTGTGTCGCACACACCTAAAAACCTTTAGAAATGAATGCATGGGAGCCCTCAGCCTGGGCGTTTACCGTCTTATGTAGTCTGGAAGATGAGTGGATGGTGGGGTGGGTGCAGTTTTCTCTGTGGTGGGGTTGGGTGGACTGTCCAGGGCTCTGTGGAGCCGGGGGGCGCTACTGCACAGGGCCCCGGTCTGATGGGCCTGGGCCCCCTTTCCCTGGCGGGTCGCGAAATGTGGGAGTGCCTACTGGGGTCAGCGGGGGAGCTGGCCCCAGGGAGGGGTTACCTGTCCCTCCCTTCCTTCCCTCCCCATCTCCAGCTGCCTCCCTCTTCCCGCTCCTTCACAACCACCCACACATGCAGGGCCTTGGAGTAGGGGTATGTCACCAGGGTGCAGAGGAGGCT